GTCAAGATTCACCAAGAGCTCAAATATCAGTGCCCCTTCCATCCACGGGTGAGTATGTACAGGATCAGCCCACGTACAGACTCAAATTCCAGGTGAAGTCCTGGCCCCAGAGGGATGAGCAGGGTTTGATCCAGGGATATTGGTGAAACCCGGGTTTAATTTGTAGCGTTTGAAAAGCCAGCAAATTTTTACATAGCGGGACAAATAGCTGTGATGGTTTTTGCTTGAATAGAGGTATAAATAGAGTTGCTTCCTGACAGAATCAGCAACAGTCACTTCGAAAGGTTTACTCATATTTACCTAGTCACAGTAACTGATGTAACTGCGTCCTGTTTCGTGAGCTGCAAACACGTCAGTGTGTAGCAAGCTGCTAGAAGTTAGAAAATGTTCTCAAGGGATTTTTTTTTGGTGGGAGGGTTAAGTGTAACTCAAGTTTCGGTGGTTACCGTTAAAAAACAAGGTTATTTTTTCCTTTTCAGAAGTGAAACATTATTGAGCTGCGTGGCATGCATCATAGTAACTAGCTAATAGGGATATGTGTAGTGGCAGTGGTGAAAAGAGGTGTCAAGAGAATTAATAAAATTTGTAAGACTAATACAGAAAGATGTGTTTAATTCTTTGAAAGAAAGAGTAAATAAGAAAACCTCCCCAAATTCCTCATTGTTACCATTCTTACTTCCCGTGCCATGAGGAGTTCAGTGGTCCACATTACAATCAGAGGACTATCTTACTTTCTGTGTCCTCCTTCCACCACAGTGACAGGGAGAGAGCGCTCCTAAAAAACTATATTTTATGGGCTGATCTTTTTCTCTTCACCGGGTTTTCCTTGTTCTTGTTGTTTATCTCCATATACCCCTGCACACAGTACGCATGTAACAATGTGGTTTTTTCATCCTTCGCAACGACAGGTCTTGTATGTCCTTCTTCATCCTAATCCACCACCTCTTTCCTCCTCACAAACTTCTGAGTCTCAAGCTCTTTGCTGCCTGTGAATGCAGCTGGGAACGATGCCCTCCCCCCCTGCTTCTTTTGAGTTGGCTCTGGGAGCCCACCACAGATGGTCTGTACCTCATACATAATAAAGATTTTTTTTTTTTTTTTTTTTCTTCTGAGGCAGGTTTCTATGACTGTAAGAGGCAGACACTCTGGCAAGCTTAGACCTGTGTTTTTATATTTTTTCCTAAGTAAGCCTTGGGGGACTTGTTTGCCATCGTTTGGAACCCCTTAATAGCTTATGGAGCTCAGTAGTATCTTGGTGCCAGGAGTGGGAACCTGATTTGTCCACTTGATCTTTTCTTAGGGAAAATTATATACATTAGCAAAATGAAGTTAGGGCACAGCTGGACAAAAAAAAAGAAATTAAGCAAAAGCACTCCAGGAACTGATGAAAATCGGTTGCTTTAGCAAGGTGGTCTTCTAATAAAAGTATAGCAGGTTTGTGCTAACTGCGTCTTAGAAGTGCTTTAGGGTGGCCTGTTATAACTGTATTTCTTACTAGTTCTAGTGACTATTTTCTTTCAGTGAGTTCACCATATACTGGTTTTGGAATAATAAACTTTGTGTAGCAAAATGTACCCAGGGCCTCATGGATGAGCCAAACAAGCATTTTCAGTTGCAGATGGTTGAAGTTCTAGGTAGCTCAACACTCTTGCTCCCCGGGTTCCTTTGTATATTGTTGCATTTATAATGCTCTGTATTATAGTAGTAATAAAACCAGGTACATGTGTGGAGGTCTATTTCATGGACCTTGCTGTGCATGTGCTTTGATTTTTTGTTATGTGTGGAAGCTCCCTGCCTGCACAGGGCTGTTCTTGCTTCCACGAGTGTGCTTTGGGAGCTGAAAATAGAGAACATATGCAGGAAAAAAATAATGGAAATACATTTATGCCAGCAGTTTTAGCAGCTGATTCGACCCCCATGAGAAAGTGTATGTCAAAGTCAGATGTGGGGTTGTATTTTTTTTAAAAGGGAAAAATGTCATGACTAAGTAGGATTTTGTTCATAATGAGGGAAAAAAATTTACAGATATTTCATTCTGTGTTTTGCATGTTGATACCGTTGGAGGGTTACTCATTAGATAATAGCAATTACCATCCAGAATAAATTCGTGGATTTCAGAATATTTGCTAAAACACTTTGGGATTCATGTGCCTGAAAGAGTAGCTGGCTCTTTGAGAAAAAAAACCACTGGTGCTGGATAAGACACTCTTTTGGGGCCTCAAGGGTGTCATAGTGAGGGCTGCAAGGAGTAAACGGAGCAAATAAAATCTTGTGAGAAGAGACTAGCTCTAGAAGACATGCCAGTTAGGCAGCAATGGTCAGCAACACAGAATGATCAAAGGATTATCCCTCAGGTTGGAAGGGACCTCAGGAGGTGTCTAGCCCAACCTACTGCTCAAAGCAGCATCAGGTGGGAGATCAGATCAGGTTGCTCAGGGTTTCATCCAGCTGGGTCATGAAAGCCTCCAAGCACGGAGACTGCACAACCTCTCTGTGCAGCCTCTTCCATTGCCTAACTGACCTCATGGCAGAAAAGTTTTCCCTTATTTCCAGCCTGAACCTCTCACATTTTAACTTCTGTCTGTTGTCTCTTGCATTCCCATCACACCCTGCTGGCTCTCACTTCTCAATAACCTCCCCTCAGGTATGGAAAGGCTATCACCAAAGCCTTCACTTCTTCAGCAAGCTCAGTTCCTTTAGCCTCTTCTTACAGGGCTGATGCTCCAGCCCCCTGGCCGTCTTGGGGATCCTCCTCCTTAACCCATCTACCTTGTGGTGACACTCGGCAAGCTGATGGGTCACACAGGAGGCCTGTCCAGATGTTGCTGGGGCTGTCACACGCAGGTCCATGTGATGGTTGTAGCCAGGACAGGCTCGGTGGCTGCACGTGGGCCATACTGCTCTCTCCAAGCTGTCTAAGGTATATGGGTATGGGTATTTTTGGGGACCATTGGCTAGAAGCACTGCCAGGAGCTGATGCTGTTGGCTGGCCTAGCCATGGCCTTCACAGCAGATTCCTGGGTTAACAGTGTGGTGTTACTAATTTCAGGTATTAAGATAGAAAAATATTAGCTTGGATTCAAAAATCGTGACATAGGTTAAATGCTATAAGATGTTAAAACATTGTAGAGTTTCTTTGCTGAGTGGTTTTGAGCTGCCGAGATACAGATTTTAAGGATAAAACACGAGGGTTAGAGATAGACTTAGTCTTAAAAATTGTTAAATTCTTATAATTGCATAACTGCAGGAGCCAAGGCTTTAAGAACAATACTGAGTATCATGGAATTTGTGATTTGATTTTGAGATTAAGCAACATTGATAAGATCAAGAGTCTGTTGTTTTTGTAAAGCGAACGTTCATCGGAGAAGGTTTTTGTCAAATAGTGAACCACGTCTGTAAAGTTCTAGAATGATAGCTGCTATTATGTGTTTATCTGCTTGGCACGGTAATTAAAGTATACGTTAATGCTCTAAGACATGCATTTAGAAGGATGGATTGAAATTAAGCACCCTACCACTATATAAATTGCTTGCAAATTATATAAATTGTATAAATATGTACAACAGCATATATGCTTCTATAGAAAGTTCTATGTTTGTGTGGGCACAGTTGAATTTACTATGTCACATATTTAATTTTATTACATGCAATTTAAATATAAAAATACTTTTATGAAATACGTGGGGGGGGTTCATTTATATATTTACCCTGTCCAGGGCAAGCATTTTTAAATATGTAAATCTTGCAGTGTAAAAACCACGAAAATTGAAATTGTGGAGATGCTCAGCTACGGCTGCAGGAGCCTTTGAGCTGTCCACAAGCGTCTGTGTGAGCAGGGCAGCAGGAATTCCTGTCCCTGCAAGGGACCATCACGCTCTCAGACGACTGGTTTCCAGAGAACAGGCTGCAGGTGGGGATGAGTCTCTCGCCGCACACCAGGCTCAGCCCCTCTGTCACAAACCGCAGAATGGATTTTTAGCGAGAGACGAGCTTCGTGGAGGAGGCCCTTCTCTGGTTAAAAAAGCATGATCGCTCTTCAGCCGTTAATTAGTTTTATCTTGGAATCAACACTGCAAGCTTAAATCTATCAACTGGCTTCCTGAACGCCGCGCAGCATCCTTAGGAAATCTTCAGTGGGAATTTCCAGTCTGTACACTTACAAAGTGAGGCGTTGCCGCTGCCTGTAATACAGTTCCTCTTCGTACTAGAAAACCTTTGTCATAAATAATCCGCAAGATGTTTGAGAAACCGTTAATGTTACCCCCTGCACTGGACAATTCATCAGATCAGGTTTACTCCATTATTTCACAGTCTACGTGACTTGTAAGTCAAAAAGCAGGTGCCTGTCCTTTTCACATCGCTGAAATGCACGCGGCGTACTGTTCAAAACAATGCTGCTGTCTTGCTTTACAATGCAGATAACTTCTTTTCTTTTACAGTTTGTCTGACTGTATAGAGAGCAGTTGGGAATATATGTGCACGCTGCTCGAGCTGTTGCTTTTTCCTGCTTGTACAGTGCAGTCTCCTGACAAAGAGTGCCGTTCTGCGCAGTGCGATCGCGGAGCTCAGGGATTAAGATAGAGAAGTATCTAGCAGCCTGTTGAGAAAAAGGACACAAAAAGAGTAAAACCCTTCTATGGGGAATTGTTTGAGAATTGCTGCCCTTGTGAAGATGAAATGTGAGCACTAAAACCGCCTTGTTCTTCCCCGCATACACTCTGGTATAGGGCCCAATTTTTAAAAATGAAGGCTTTACAGAAGTAAAACTTTGATTTTTAGACTCACAGTTCTCTACATACCTCTTTTTATGTTTGAGATCTAAAAGCAGTGTTCAGGCATCCTTTCTTCTACAGCTAATATTGGTGATCCTGCCCAACAGTTACAAAAGCAGAAAAAAGAAAACCCTTACACACATTTGCTTCTTCAGTTGATACGTATTTACATGTTTCTCCATGGTGAAAGGTTTTCTCTTTTTTTTAAATTATTTTTTTCAGTGTATCAGCCTGGATGCAGTCGTCCTGTAAGGAATCCGAAATTTACAGCAGAAGAATTGCACTTTAACACTGAAAAAGTTCTTCCTCATCTGAACTGTCATTCAAAAGGCAGGATGAAAGTAGCCGAAAAGGTTTTCTATCATATTGTCTGCAGGCCTCCTAGAAGATTCTTCTGAACCTTGGGGTAAGATTAAAAAAGAACAAACATCTTAGGTATAAAGTAGAAGCTGATAACGAACTGTGAGGGTGTAGTTCTAGGGCAGAGAATATACTGTATTTTGCGTTGACCTCTGTGCTGAAATGCCTATAGGAGCACTTCCGTGTAAGAAAATGCGTTATTCATTCAAATAATGAAAACAGAAACAACAATAAGTTGAAGTTTATTACCAGGATTAAATATATATATAATTGAAGAAATTGTTTGCTATTAAAAAATGAAAGCATATGTTTTCTTTGTTCTTTTGATAATAGATGTCAAAGTACAGAAATGTTTAACTATGAAAAGTAAGTTTTAGTGTAAGTACGGAAAGTATGAATTGCTGAGTAGTAAAATATATTTTGGCTTTCTTAGCTCCTGAGAAATAGCTGAATTATTTGCACTGTCTGTAGTTAATGTTGTTGCCTTGTTCTTAGTGGTTTTGATTTGTATTCAGTAGTGGTATCCGTTATCTTACATTTAGGGAATTCTTCTAGTTTATTTCCTTATTGCTCTATCAGTTTAGTACAGATAGTTGGGGTGTCATGACAATACCTTCTTTGTGACTGTAGTCGTAGTATTTCACATAAAGAGCATTTTCCAAGGGATATCAGTACTTTTTCATATACATGAATCTTTTTCTCCAGCGTCTGTTTCAGGTCATACATGTATATTTAGCTAAAATTAATGTGAAAGACTTTGTTGTCTAAATGTGTATGGGATGCAGTTCTCAGTATTGCAGGTGTTTACATCCATGGCAATATTAAATTCTTCTTATGGCAAATAATGGAATGCTCATTTCATAGCCGTAGGAATTTGGCCGGGGCATACAAACAATTTATTTTTCATTTGTTTATAGTCAGACAAGTTTATAATTAAGACAGTAATGGGCATAAGCATTCTTGCAGCCTTTGCAGCTCAGCTTTCTTGTTAACATCAAAGAGAATATTTGTGGTGGAAGACATAGCAGTCGGTAATAAGTGTGGGAGAATCAATAGCATGCAGATTTTTTAATTTTTTTTTTTTTTAAACCTGGTTATCCCCTATCCTCCTATCGTCTGTGTATCTGCAATAAAGGAAAAGCATGCATACTTATTTTTGTTATCATTTCAAATGCTGTAGATAAAAATGATAGCTGTACGCTGGTACCAAATTCTGTGCACACCCCAGACCACCAGAGATATTAATGAAAACATGCAGAGACTTATATAACCATTACATCAGTGTCCTATTTCTAGAAATGGCTGGTGTAAATTATCCTTTTGCTGATGAATCCATTGCATTGATCTGTGGCCTGAATGGTCCAAATAGGAATAAAATCAAGAACGTGGTAAAGCTGAAGGGGAATCCTGGCATAGAATGATAATACTTTGTTTTGCATAGGGAACATACATGTGGGTGAATATACGTGTGTTCATGCATACATGTATATAAATGTATCAATTGTTTTGGATTTACTGTGTCTGAGGACAAAGCCCTTATATGTGACAGACGTTTTAACTTAAGGGGTTGTGCATCTTTTGTGTCAGTTCTGAGACAGCTGAGATGAGCTGAAGTACCAGCCCTGGAGGGTCACTGGTGTGTAAGAGAGTTGCCAGCAACACAGTTTCTCTAAGGGCCTTTGAGTCTGTGATTTGACTGCTCTCACAGCTTGGTCCAAAATAGCTTGTGTTTGTTGGCTATGAAGCCCATTTATCTCTGCAACAACTAGGGACGTTTGTTTGGGGCTGAGCATATCTGCTGGAGAGGTACTGGAGGATTGTGAGTTTCAAGGCCTTAAACTAATTATATGGAGTAATGATTTCCATGGACGAAATGTTACCGGTTTGTTGGGTTTTTTCTTCGTTATGTCTTTAGCTACGTGCTAGTGGTGTTGAAAAGCTGAGATTCAGGTGTCTGTATATTTTACACTGAGTTTAAATCATAAATAGCTCACTATAAGAATCTTTTTAGAAGAAAGGGAGAGAGAGGAAAAACCAGTCTGGTTAAGAGGTCATTGTTCTTATTAAGAAAATAGTGAGTTATTATTGCTGCCTCTGATATACATAAGTAATACATATACCTCTTTAAGACTGGACCTCAGAATAAATTGCAAGACCAGAGATTAAATTAAAATCTTCTAAAACTTGATCCTCAAGTATTTTTAAGGAAGTGGTCTGTTCCAAGTACTCTAACGTATGAAATCTTGTTAAGATTAAAGTCTCTGCAGGTTGAAGGTCATTTTTTGAGGAAGAAACCCAGCTAACAATAAGATCAGGTAATGCTCAATGAGATTGTCACAATTAACTAATTAAAATAATTTTGTAGTCAGAAGATCTTATATGTATACAATAAACTTTAGGCTCTTTTTTATTGCTATGTTGTTTCACGGTTTTCTCAGTAATAACATAGTTTACTTTGGAAAAACTAACCTTTATGTCTTGGGCTAACAAACGTTCAATACTCTTCTTACTCTTTTCTCATTCTCTTGGTTTTCACTTACGTATTCAGAGAAGGATTTTTTGGAACACACCTTAAAAGTCTTTTAATGCGCAATAAACCTTCTTTCAAATACACTGGATACTCTCAGAGGGAGGAGAAACTGTTCTCCAATGCTTCTCATGTGCTGGATTTGTGCAGTTGACTCTCTCAGCTGATGCTGCGTTGCTCCAGGTATAAATGAAGGAGAAATCAGTAGATTTGGCCTTGTCTTAACCTGTTGCAAAGTGAGAAATGGGGCATTTTGAAAACAGGTGCAAAAACATATTCAAATTAGGTTTGCTTATTTGTAATTTCGTAGTTTCTGGCCCAGGGAGCATGGTGTTCTCAAATCCTCAAATCAGCAGAGGAGGGAGGCAGACCTGGTGCTTGTAACATTTCTTGAAATTTAATTTACATGTGTTCAGATTAAGAAAGAAGTTTGATTGTGTAGTTGTTGTGGTGGTGGTTTTTTTTTTCTCAGCTGCAGTTTCCTTTGCATTTCCACAAGAAATTGAATAATTTAGACTTCTCCTACCAAAAGCTGGGTTTTCACCCACCTGTGAAAAGCATATTCACTTGTACACAGGAGATCGTAACTTGACTGGTGAGAAATTAATACAGAAAATGGACAGTGCAGTTGCTCCAATATTAAATTGCTCTTGCAAGACTGGATTTCTTGCCAGTCCACAGGAAATGACTTGTAATCCGAATAATTTAGACTTCTCCTACCAAAAGCTGGGTTTTCACCCACCTGTGAAAAGCATATTCACTTGTACACAGGAGATCGTAACTTGACTGGTGAGAAATTAATACAGAAAATGGACAGTGCAGTTGCTCCAATATTAAATTGCTCTTGCAAGACTGGATTTCTTGCCAGTCCACAGGAAATTACTTGTAATCCTTTTTTTTATTTATTTTTTTTTTTTTTCTGACAAGGAACCTTTTTATTTATTTATTTATTTATTTTTTCTGACAAGGAAGGTGCTGGAATAGAAATACAGTATGTAACATAAAGATTAAGATATATCCTCAAGTTAGTTAATTCATTGGAAAGGTATTGACTTTCTCTATCCAACTAAAATGATAGTAGTAAAGCAGGAAAGATAATTGTTAGAGAAGCTGGTTACCTCATATTTGCATTGTTATCAGTTCCTCAGGTTATTGCCAAACATAAAATATTTGGGATGAACTGTCAGTGCTGAGCATATTGTTTAGAGTTAGTGTAGTAGGGCAATTTCCCTCAAAACAGCTTTTTTCTGAGAAGAGAGGAGTCTTACCTTTGGCATTTTCTAAATTTTGAGGACTTTGTGCTTTAACTGCAACCTTTTTCTATTCGGTCCTCTAAATATAAACCTTTATTCCCACACTCAGTTGAACCTGCAGCTGAAAAGTGATTGTGAGATGAATATATCTTTCTTATAATTCAAACGTTTCTCGTATAGGTTCTATAAAATGTCTACAGGCTTAAATAAATATGGGAGTGTTCATCAGTATGTAGCTCTTTCTCTCCACGTAATTCCTGTGCAAGAGGTCCTGTCAGACAAGGGGCTCAGCTCTAGTTAACATTGAAAAGAGAAATTTTATTTTGAAGATTTAAGGAACAAAAGAGCTTGCAAGGAATAGCATAAGAAGGTAATTAAATTCCCTGGGTAACCAGGAGAAAGGTAGAAAGGCAGTAATGTTACGTTAAAGTATTTTGGGTAAGTCATAGTCTTTCTGGTTTTTTTGTATAAGACATATTCTTTAATTTCCATAAATATTATATTTTTTTAAAATTACCAAAGAGGTTATCAAATGTTTTCATTGTCTCATAATATTACTTGAGTGCTCCCAATAACTTGCTTATATTTGTAATCAATGAAACTGAATTTTTAAACAAACAATGATTAGCATATATGAATTCTCATCATTGGAAGCTACATACCCAGCTAAAGAAGATCTGAGACAGGTAGACATCAAATGAGTTGATAGTTCCTATGTTTAAAGTACTAGGAGCATAATTTCTCTGTACGTAGTGAGATGAGATGGGTGATTTCTCCCACCTACTTTAAAAACCTGTTCTGGATGGAAGGGTTGTTTCTGTAAGCACCTGTATCCGTTTCATCACGTATGGTGGGTTCCCACTCCTGGGCACCCAGTGTCCAGCAGGTTGAAGTCACAGGAGATGATCAGGTCGAGGGAGGTGATTCTGCCCCTCTGCTCTGCTCTGGCAAGACCCTGTCTGGAATACTGCATCCAGCTCTGGAGCCTGTTGGAGAAAATCCAGAAGAGGGCCATGAAGACGATGAGGGAGCTGGAGCATTGGAGAAAATCCAGAAGAGGGCCATGAAGACAATGAGGGAGCTGGAGCACCTCTCCTATGTAGACAGGCTGTGAGAGTTGGGGTTGTTCAGCCTGGAGAAGAGAAGGCTCCGGGCCTTCTCTTATGACCTTCTCTTAAGACCTTATGATGGCCTTCCAGTACATAAAGGGAGCCTACAGGAGAGATGGGGAGGAACTCTGTGTCAGGGAGTGTAGTGACAGGATGA